CAATAAGAATTCTTAAAAAAAAAAAAAATTATTAACCATTTCAACCTCAATTTTAAATTGTATGCCACTCATGGACCAAGCATGTTTTAATAGTGGTGTGGTTTGGTTTTTTTTTTTTTCACTTTGGGGGATTTGGCTTGGATTTGTACTGGTGACATCTTTAAATCATCTCTAGATCTTGTTTTCTTCAAGAACGAATGTTTACACTAGAAAACAAACAGCTTTACACAGCAGGCTGTGAATTAAAGCATGTTTCAGTTCCTTAACGCTAATGCAGCACAATGGACTACACAGACGTGTAGTAAAAATGAGCATGTCCCAAAGAAGCATAAAGCTCAAACCCAATTGATTTTGAACTACAGTATGCTTTCAAATAACTGCATTATTCTTGTGAGATAAGAAAAAAGAGCATTATGGCTGCAAAATTGGACTCTTACTATAGATTGTTATTGCTGGTTTTCCTTTTTCTAAGCAGCAAACCTCAGTAATGTTTGCTAGCTTTCCAACAAAATCAACAGAGTATTTTGTTAATCACTTCTCTTAACACCCCAAAGTCTATACTTGGTGTGGCCCTACAACCCCTCAGGCACATGGAAATCAATCAACAGCATTACAGCTACAGTAGAAGAGATCCAATCTCTTCTTCACAGTGGCTGAAGTCCAAGGAACAACTCGCTCTCACCAAAATGTGTTTTTAGGTAAGCCCGAGAAGTAAATAAACTATGAAAAGGGAAAGGAATTGGAGTCTTCCTAAAACTGGGTATCTGATGTTAATAGCAAGACCCATAGAGCACACCCTCAGTGCCTTGTGCTGGGTATAGCCAGCTCTTTTAAAACTGCACTGCCGTATGAGCAGTCTCATGACCCCAGTTGGAGAAATGTATATTAATATATATTTTTTAAAAAAATTCAGAGACTGCACAATGTTCTACGAGTTTACTAAGCAACTGTGAATGCTAAGGGCAGAGAAGGACAAGGGGCCACCTCTGTCCATCTTGATTTTAACTGACAAATTTCAACCTTCTGGGCCAAAATTGTTACAGGCACGAGCGTGAGTTTTGTGGATACCATTGTCTGAGGTTTTAATCAAATTTTTCAATGGGATCATGTGGAAAGCTGGTGAAAAGATGTAAAATGCTCTGCGTAATTACTAACATCATAGCACAGAGATTCTTTTTAAAAATAGGCAACACATATTTCAGTTGTAAAACTCACCTTCAAGAGGACAGACAAATATTGTGCAGTAATCTCCTTTTCAAGCTTTGGTTCAATTAGCATCTGAAACACAGCAAAAAATTCAAGCGGAGGTGTCATCTTTCAGGCAAGGCAACTCTGTTTCCCATTCTCGCTTCATTCTCTGAAGTTCCTTAACTTCAGAGTAATTTCTTCTGCCATTTCACTGGATGAATTCCCAAGTTAGCAAGCTGCACCCATCCTGTACAATGATTACAAGGACACTGTTTGCCCACATCTGCTCACAAACCAAGGGTTACCCTATTATTTCAGCATGTCCAATACAGCACTTGGCTGCAGGAGCAGGTTGAGATTTTTAAAAACTTTGGATATTTTAATTTTAATTATTTACCCAGTTATAACTGGTTAAGTTGAAGATTCTTCCAATCAATTAAATTGTTCTTCATGTTTATTCCAATCTGTTTCTTTTAACAAAAACTTGGTGACAAACTAGTCAGCCCCCACCAAAGTAGCTGAAGCAAAATTGTAGATGAATTGCTATTAATATACTTAGATTAGTGGAAAACAATAAAAAGGATTACTGTATTTCAAACAAATTGTGCTGCCACAGCTCTATATAAATCCAATTGTTAAAAGCTTCTGGTAATTACAAATACATATACTCCATGGTAATGAAGAAACCCTGTAAATATTGATATTTTTTAGTTTTCTATGAAGCATAAAATTAATCCACTTTCTCATAAACTTTTATTATTCTACCTGGGCACTAGATTCTTTAATAATAATAATAAGAGAAATCCAGTTCTTGCCCCTGTGCACAAAAACAACAAAAATTTTTCTACCATTATTATGGTCCATATTCCTCAGTTAAGTTCCATAATCCAATTTTTGTATAAGCAACCTAATGACACTCATTGATGTGCTTTTAAACTAAGCATGTCTATGTGGCGTGACATGATCCATGCAATTTCAAGAACATGTAATAATTGATTTCACTGAACTCAGTATTCCTTACTTTCAGTGAATCTGCAAATTATAATTGCACACATTGTCAGAAGAGCACATCTCCAAATTTGTATCAGTATCTGTGCATATTTATAAGTACATATATATGTGCATAATCATAAGGATTAAGGAAAAACACCAACAAATGACACCAACATGGCACAAATAATGACATTTCAAATTCAGTGGTTCCCTACTGCTTTCTGTCTGTACTCATGAGGACATACCTCTGAGCAAAGTTTTGGATATGACAGAAAGAAGGAAAAAAGCTTTGGAGTGGTCAAGTTACTCAGTGATTTTTATATTATCAGCTTTTGCCTTTTTTTGTTCTACCTGCTCATGACTTCATGAATCTCTTGAATGCTGAAGTGGTTTCCAGTTCACTTGGTATCATGAAAACAAATCAACAACATAACATTAATTAATGGAAAAAATTTACCTTTTTTTTTTTTTTTTTTTAAAGGAATTATGTTTTCAAAGGAAGTCTCATGCTGTCAATCCCTTCTCTGGCTTTTATTCATGAATGTGAAACAATTCTAGTGTTGTTGCTGTTTTAGCTTTGGACCATAAAAATTCTCCAAAATGACCCTAAATCTTCATTGTCACTATTCTTTAGTAGATTTAGCTATCCCGCCTTGCTTCTGACTTAATGATAGGTAGCTTTGATACTCAGGGACTAAAATCCATGCATATTCCCTCCTCTTCCAGTTCAGTGGGGAATTTTCAGGGAAGAAAGAACATAAACTTCTTTCATGCTCTTCTGCAGTTAATTTTAGAATGGGCTTCATACTGTAATCCCATTAGACTAAACACATTATGAATTCTCTTTCCATACTGTAATTCTCCTAATATCACAAGTTTTAATGAAATACAATTTTAGTTTGTCATCTAACGACCATTTGGCACATCAGGAAAAAAACCCAACCAAACAAAAAAAACCCCACAACTCACAACAGCACTTGCTACATCAGCCAATAATGACAACATTTTTTTCTTTAGCTTCTTTATTTAAAATCAATTTATATATCAGTTAATTTTAGCCGTAAGAAACTGTTCTCTGATAAAATCCCACTATATCGGAATGGTAAACTCTTAACTACTTTTATTTAAGAAAATAATACAACTATGCCCCACAAATTATGACAGTTTGAAATATCTCTCTCTCTCTCTTTACTATGTAATGAAGACAATGTCATAAAAGTACATAACAAATGTATAGAAAATTCAGGAAAAAATACACAAAAATAAAAGCTCCCTGTGGGTTTTGTCTTAGTAAAAATTTTTTTTACTGGAAATAAAACATTAATAAATGGCTTTATACAAATAAATACATATTTTAATAGATGAAATTTATCGGAAACATGAATTCTTCCGATTTCAAAATTTCAAACAATGTAAAGTCAAAATGATGGGCTATACTGGCCAAAGGTTGGTTACAAGAGTCTTTATTTTGCAAACTATACAGAAACAGTAAAAAAGAAAATGCATTATACTTTTCAATATTACATAAGATAAACATTAAATTTAGTATTTGAAGTGTAGAAATTAAGTCAAATAAGAAACTGATTTTCCTTTTAATTACTGATGGGAAACCAGTGATCCAATTTTGAAATTATAAACCTGTAGTATTACATTATACAGGTCACATCAATTTTATTGTGGGCAGAAAGTAATAGATATATGAACGAAGATGGGAGTCCCAAAATGCCTACACAATCAATTAACATGCTAACATAAATACAGTGATTAAAGTAATTTTCTCTACAGTCAAATCTTAAGTGCTACTCTACACAATAATTATAATCTAGTCCACATGGTAATTACATAACAATAGAAAAAAAAATTTAAAATAACCCATTTTCTTCATTCCAGCAGCAGTACCTATACTGGTATTAATTTGGTAAGTGGGTATGCTTAGCTATTGCCTAACATCCTATACTGGTATGCATGCTAAAACCTCTCTACCTCTATTTTGCAAGGCACCTTTACAATACGTTCTCTAAGTTTCTGCACTAGTAACAGAAAACAACATGAATTAAGATAAAGATGCAAAACTATTTCCTGAATTAAGAAAATAAAAAGTATCATTATATGTTTATTAAAAACTATCTTGAGGCAGGTGTCAAGCCTCTGAAATAGTCATGTATAAAGTCAATATAATTTTAAGCAAAATTTTTCCCCCATGTAAAATATTTTATACTAATCTGCTTAGCAAGAAATACAGAGAAATAACAAAGGGTGAAACAATGTTTGAGTAAATAATGATACAGCCCACAAGACCTTGACATGAAATAAAAAAAAGGAAGGACAAGAAAAATTTAGAATTACAGAATTGGTGCTTGTCCATGCTACCGCTTTTGAAAAATCCTTTCAATAACCTAGCCATTTCCTAATAGAAAACATAATTACGAATGCAAACACAAAGGAGGACTTTGCTTTATTTTTCCCTCCTGATAATTTTTCTCCATACCTTTGGTTAATTAAAGGCTGGTGAGATGCTACTCGTGCACCAATGTTTTTCTACTGTAATACATTTTCATTTAATAAATGGACAATTTGCAAAGCCCGCAGTGCCTAAAACACTGACAGAACTAAAGTTAAGTTACAGTTTGTGTTCTGAAGAGGACATGCACAGTTCCAAGTATGGGCAGATATCTTTTCTCCAGAGTTTTAAAGAGACTGGTTGTCTTTATAGTGTGTTTTGCACATTTATATTTTCAGTAGCACATAACATTTCTATCTTCAGGCTAGACTTCCAACGTGTTTTCTTCAGCGCAAAGGCATTTAAAAACTCAAAAGCACATAATATAATTATTCTTATTTAAACAAAAAAGTCTATGACTCCAGCTGCAATGTTTGAAATAATCATACAAAATATACACGTTTGTTAGAATCCTTTTGATCTTGGAGAGCAAAGGGATTTTATGAAATGTCATCTTGTGAATTTCAGAAAGGTACAATTAATGGACCCCCTAAAATCATCAAATATATCCATCATGATCATCGTCATCATCAACATCATCATCTCCTTCATCTTCATCATCATCTTCAATTTCATCTTCATCATTCATTATTTCATCTTGATCATCTTCATCATCTGTCCATTCATGGAAATAGCCAGAGGCAAAATCACCTGACGACTCTAAATCAATAGCTAAAAATGTAGGATAGTTATTGAAAAGATACACTACATATTTATAGTATGATATAAATAAACATAGAAAAGGCACACCAGAATATTTAGTTTCAGGACAATTACTTATTTTAAACTACACAGTGTGACATAAAAATAAAACAAAAGTTCTTTTGTCTTAAAAGAAAACCACTTCAATAGGGATGAATTTCTCAATGTTAACAAAAGGAGACAAATTTTATGGATTTGTAGAACTACAACAAGTACCAGGAACAACTGGAAGAGATTTAAGTCTGACTTAACAGATAACATTAAGGACTACTGATAATTTACACTATGGTTCAGTTCTTACATATTATCTTGAATTATCTAGAGCTGTCCAGTAATTGAGAAAGGCTTTTCTGGATTAGATGGACAATAGGCCTGAGCTTCTATGTCAAATATTTTGTAAAAATTTACCCTTTGTTTTAGGCTATATTGTTTTGTCGCAAAAGAATTGAAAAGGAGTTATGTAAGGCTTTTTTTTTTTCCCCCTCCTTCAAAAGGAGTATATTTTATTGCCATCTTTTATATCTGGGACATCAAATAAAGATGCTGTGGGAATTCTTGGAAGAGTTTGCACAGTGCTGCAGGGAAGGGAAAAATAAGCAAAGATTTAGTGTACTAGAACTTTTGGCAATTCCTTCCAACAAAATGGAAAAAAAGTCAAATTGAATTCGCTACCTGCTGATTACCTAAAGGAGTTTCATCAAGCATTTTGGGCCTTGCCTAATGCTGCTCTAGAAAATTTGTTTTCCCTACGTCTATATACACTATGTCAAGCACATGAGGCCTATTAATAGCTGACACAGTGATAGGAGTTACAAAAAATAATGAAGTAGTAACAACAACAAATTACAAATTTTTTTTTTTTTTTTTTTCCCCCAAAATCCATGTAGTTGGGTCCCATTTGTTCTTACTAAAGAAATTTAATCTGGTTGGTAACCAAAAGGAGTAACAGCTCTAAACCAAATGCCACAAAGGGTTCTTAGCTTACCACATTCTGCTGCACCGTTTGTCCTGGATCCTGTTACCTCATTTCCGTATCTGTCAACACACCAGCACTGCCCTATGCTTCCATGGCACTGGCTTGGCTTGTAATACCCATCTTCATCACATAACGGGATGTACTGCCCTGTGATATATAAAGATCGAATAAGAAATTAAAAACTGCCTTGGCCAATATAACAATTATAGCAGAAAGTAACTACCTTTTGTTGTTTCCTCATTCCAGACTCTGCACTAACTGGTTTACTATTATAAAATTCAGCTAAGCAGAAAGGGACTGAACATATCAAATGTGGGAGGGAACAGAACATGTATCAGTCTTGGACTGATTTCAAGAAATAGTGATCAATCTTCCTTTAAATTTTTCATGGATCCTGTGATACATATTCCTTACTCCCTGAACATCTCAGTCAAGATCTTTACTGTAAGCTACAAGGCTTAGGAGCTATTTTTATTTAATATATAATTTATAATCCATTTGGTTACATACTAATATTTAATTATCCCACCACTGAAGATAAATGCAGTGTGACACCCCCAATTTTATCAACAAATATATAAAGTTAAATTTACATTTATATGCAAAATACTTGGGCAAACCAGGCTCTAAGCCAAAAGGGTTCCCCACCAAGAGTACAACAAACAATCAGAAACTTATTTTGTGAGGCAGTGATTTGCCTAAGGCTGAATAAGCCACCGTTTTTCATTTGGAAGGAACAGAGACTTTCTGAATGAAACAGAATGTAGACAAACCACAACGAACAAAACATTCATATGAAAGCATTTTGAAGTGTATACTTGTTAGAAAACATCCTTTGTATGTAGTTTGGGCTACTTTGGGCAAAGCTTTTTATTGCAGCTCTTATACAGTGGCTAACAGTGAAAAGAAGATATTACATATCAGTAATATTCATACAGTATAAACTGAATCACAACAAAGAATACAATTACTTAGAGAATATTACAGGTGAAGGATCAGCAGAGATACGAATTCAGAAGTGCCTTAGACTGTCCTCTCTGTAACTGTAAAAACGCACCTTCTATTAGGGTAATAAAACAAATGTAATATTTTTTGGTAGGTAAGGTAATAAAACTAAGTTTAATAGCTTTCAAAAGTTTCATAAATTTTGTTGCTGGAATTTACTGCAGTCTATCTTTGTTGGATTAATATTGATTTTATGTTGCTGTTTCACTAGGATTATTTATGTAAGCAATAAAAGCTTCAAAAGCATGATCTATGTCTCACCTAGGAGCTTCTTTCCTCCTTGCTGTTTCTGAATGTTGCTGAGTTCTGCCTGGCAAGGTGGGTCTAAAATGACATAAAAAATGTTAAACAGATTACACTGTATCTAGGAAAGAAAGCACATGACTAAGTTTTCACAGTTTGCTACGTTTAAGGTCACTCTAACTACTGATCTCAACGCACACATCCTGTATTACTATCTAAGCTCTGATATAAAAGAATTACGAATTAGAACACCACAATGGATTTGTGCAGAAGGTCACCCACATCGAGGAATGCTAGGCCAAAATAGTAACTCTATCACACCCTACTTTACCAGTCTACAGAAATCAGATTGAGACTGTGAAGCTTCCCTCATGTACTGCTTAGAAACAGGATGGCCCTTTTAATTCTTTCCCTTTTCTCCTTAGAAGTCACTATCAAGTTTTGTATTTCACGTACTACACTAAGAAAGTAAGAATTTTCTCCTCTAAAGTCTGCAAGATTGTGATTCTACTACAGTGATTTAAGACTAAATTCAATGGGGTCAATGCCCCATGTTCAGCAAACTAAGTTAAAAACAATGAACTTTAGATGGCTCTAAGGGGCAGAATAGGTATTAAAACTGACTTTGTCATTCTTCAGAGTTACAGCTTACTCCAGTTCTGAATAACTTCATTTTCTACTAAGTCACAGTATGCCCCAAGAATGGGAAGGAAAGAAGATGTGAACGTATGTATGTTACTACTGAATAAGTGAAAGAAGCAAAGACAGTAAAGTACTAATATCTGAACTGTGATAGTGTGTACTACATTAGACCATTAGCAAAAAGGCATTTCTCATTCTGAATCAGCAGTAGTATTACTAAATTTACTCACATGTGCCTTTAGCTTATGTTGTTCTCAGGTACTACTGTGATAACATCTCACTAAAAATCTCACATTCTATGAATACTAAATGAAATTCCCATTTTAGCAGACTGATTATTTACAGTCTGCTAATACATCTTTGCAGTGCAATTAACTTGTTTCCCTTCTGAAATACCAGTGAAACTTCTTTTTTCCGATACAAACAGGAAAAAAAAAAACCAAAACAAACTTCTGAGCTAGTTTAAAGATGAGCAAGACTGGCCCGGCTTATTGATGAAGTACACACTTAGACCAGAAGCCAGTCACTGTGTAGGACAATGGGTAGGCAATTACTTGAGTGGTGCTAGTGCAAAGCAGCCTTCCCTGAATCCCTCCTGATGGAAAACAAGAGTGCTCACCCTTTGGCCAGCTGAGAGCAGCACAAGATGAAGAAAGAAGTGTAGGAACAGCAAGAATGCATTATAATACATGAAGGTGCCTTTCTTGCGGAAATCCTCAAACTCTGGTGACAAATGCCTAGATGAACTGTGCTGGCTTATATTTCTGATGAACACGGAGCCTCTTGGCTTGCACAGCCTACACAGACCAATTGGCCTTTGGTATTATTCATGAGCTCTTATGTAACATGGTAAATAGAAACTGGAAGACATTAATAATCCCTTACTGACAGCAGGCTGTTAATTTCTCTTGCTTTACATTCTAAATGCTATTTTTATATCCCATAATTTTAAAGAAGCTTATAAATGTCTAGAGTGGACTCAACTTGGGGGGGGCATGTTTTCACACTAAATCAATGATTCCTTTTAGTGAAGGCCTTACAAGTAGGCTCTACTTTTAAAATACTGTTCACAGGAGTCTTAGTGCCAGAACAAATTTGAGAGATGTCTTTCCAGACATCCAAGCAATTATCTGTGTGTGCTCTTGAAAACCTCTGAGACTTGACATCACTGGGTGAGATTTGGGTTTTAAGTTTTTAGTCTTCAAGTATTTGCAGAGACTATACAAAGTTTTACAAAGCACTTACAACAAGAAATTATGATCATCATGCTTATTATTATTTCAGAGATGTTAATTGCCTTTCAAAACCAAGGTTTCTCTCATTCCTAATATTTAAAGTGTTAAGCTCTTAATTGTATAATATTGGGAGGATCAATTATTTCTTAAACCAAAGGTGTTTCCAAATAATTGGTAATTTTAAAAAATGTTAGTCATTTATATAGTCACACAAGTACCACAGGCTGGAAGGATCTAGGATTGTGGTGGATTTGGCAGTGCTGGGTTAGCAGTTGAACTTGATGATCTTAAAGGTTGTTTTCAACCTTCATGGTTCTACTACATTCTGTCTTTCATAGAAGATGGGAAATACACTGAAGGAGAAGAACTATTCAAATAGGAAAAACACATTTGCTTTGTTCTATGGAAAAAAATCCTAAATTAGAAACTCAGAGTTGTAAACATGAGCACTAACATGTGGAAAAGTAAAAAATAATGAACTATACCTAAAAAAATAATCATTTACATCTATAAATCTTTGGTGGTATAATTATAAAAAAGAATACCACTTCTCAAAAGGTAAGAAGGCAATATGAGAAAGTTACTTACCCAAAACACTTCTCAGAAGCTAGGTCTTCAAGATTCACATTTAAGCTTTGCTTCTCAGGATAAAAGCGGCAAAAACACTTAACAATACTAAATCACTCTGGTGCTTAAAACTGTCAAAGAGAATGGCAGGCTAGAAGTTCAACCAATTCCTTTTGGTCCACATCATGTCCTTTTTTCTCTCTCCCCAAATCATAACACTTTCCTCTTAATTTTCCAGTTAGTTCCTGAGTTTCGAAAAGCTTTCTTTTAGGTATCTGAACTTATTTAAATAAAAAAAGCCATGTCACTGGACAACATGTGGGAGTTTCCAGTCAAGTAGAAAAACATTCCTTTACAGAAATCAGTGTGGTGGCTTCCCTTGAAACAGAAATGAATCTGACATCAATCTTTCTGATAATCTGAATACAAGTAAGAGACCTAATCATCTTCATCCTTAATCTACTTCCACAGATGTGGCAGGAATTCTTTCTGACAATATCACTGCATTGTTATGAGTGATTCATGAACCAGTTGACAGCAGCCATCCACAGTTCTTCAGTGTTCAAAGTACTGATGTACACCAGAGTTTCCCATGTTATTAATACAGGCACTTAAGACATCAATATTCAGTTGTGTCAAGAGGTGCCACAAGCTTTGATTTACCAAAAAGAGGCATATTAACAGAGCAATGGGAGTAAAACTGGTAGGTTTGACAAAGAATGTCTAGGGTTTTTAACAGACACGTCTCAACAAGCTGCTACCCACACAATAAGCTTCCAGCTTTCACAGATTCTCTATTTTATTCAACTACAAAACAGTGATTCTCCAGCTATCAAGCAGATAGTATTTGGCAAAGCCCCTAGCTTCTGGCATATGGTCCACTGTAAATCAGGCTGTGCCCTGCCTGTGACTGGGGTCAAGTATTAGAATTGTTCTTTGATAACTAGGGCTTGAACTTTAGGAATTTCAAGCATCGACACTGCACTTCAAGAAATCTTTCTGAAGACCTCCATTATGTGTTAAGACATGTTAAAACTTCCTTTAGAACCACCTACAAACATATTTGAAGATCTGAAATCTGAGAAGACTGATCTAACAAATACGAATCACTACAACTAATCATTCTTCTGTAAGATGGACAAGTTTTAATGTCATAAAGATGTATTCCAGCCTTGCAGACAGAAGAGCTTGTAAAAAAAATACATCTAGAAAAGTGTTGGACTAACAGATCCATGCAGAGGCCTGCAGTAAAGAAATACTTCGGTGCTAAGCATTAATATTCCCAACAAAATTCAACTCTCCTACTCTGAAGCAGTGATGCAACAAAAACAAGGCTGTAATAATGATGAAGTACTGGCAGAAAGAAATTAAACCTATAAAAAGATCAACACGGCAAGGGTCTCAGCATTTAGATAAGCACTAAAGTGTCAAGCTAGCATCTAACAACCAAGAAAGTAAGTTCTGAAGATGAGTACTGAGGCACTTGCATGAACTGTAGGTGAAACTACAGAGCAATAGTGACCAAAGCATACAGGAAGACTTGTAAAGAGCACTGGCAAAGTGAAGATTTTGAAGTATTGCAGAAATGCATTATAGTGACTTGGATGCATCTCAGAAATACTAAACTACACTTAAAGCAGAATAAGACCAAGAAAAAAAATGCAGTAAGCACCACCGAGCCATACATAAGTGTTTAAGCACTAGCCAAGGCTGAACAGCTAGAAGATCATTTTCTAAGTATGAAAGATCTGACTTCAGTATTCATAAGTTACTTATATTGACTAGAAGTTGTGAGTAATGTGAAATCATGTGTCTAGTGTAATGCATCATGACACACCTCAGGCAGAAAGAAACAATCAAGAAGAGTTCCAAGTAGCTGTCTGATCCTGACAGGCTTGGACTGTGAAGCTAAAATCAAAGAGCAAGAGGGCTTCTCAGATAATGACTCATGCAAATACTATGTATTTTAAAAGAGCACAATGGAATTTCTATCTCGGCATGATCCATATTTGTTGACTAAATTCTGTATTCACTTTGAACAATGTTAAAGAACCGCAGTGCTGTAAAAGTGTAGATCTGCCCAGAAAGCACCCACGAAGCTCAATGTATATAGAGAGATGTCTACATGGCTTGAAGCATTCTGTTATTATCATCCTATTTTAGTAAACATCAGAAAGAAGACACTGAATTTCTCTATCTAGTTATCTTTTTGCTATTAATAGAAAGGCTCCAGTTAAAAGTCTTCTTTATATTGTTTAATCAATTGAAAACATAACCAAACACAAATGTATTACAAGGTTTAGCATAACACTACAAATTATGAACAGAGAATTCAGTGGGTCACTAATACACTAGGGAGTTAGGTCTCAGATAGTTGTGCAAGGGCTAATAATAAGATGTGACAAAAGCAACGATAAACATTTTTTCTCCTTATAACTTCAAAAACGAAGAAAACACATTTTGTTGATCATGTTAATCTGGAGGGATGGAGTGCATGTTTAATGTGCAAGGATTGCCAAAACTGAGATTTCACCTCATTCACAATGTTGAGGATACATCTTTTTTAATATATGTTCAAACACACTATGGTATCAAAAGATGTCTTATCTGTTTCAAATCAGCACCTAGAATACAAACTACTTGAAACCAATCTGTGGAAGTGCTTTGTTAATACCCTGGTTATGCTGTCCATGCATTATATGAAATTGGTAGAAGAGCCAATTGGTAGAACAACCTTGGACCATACTAGGCCACATTATGTGCTGTACCTTCTTTGACAACTGAAAAGAATTATGCTGCCCTCCAAATAGCAAGGGTGTTTATATATAAAGCTGAAATGATTGTGGTGGAGGATTTTTTTTATTTTAAAGACAATAAAATATAACACGTTATGTTCTTTAATTTAAGAACTACTGTACTTCTGGGATGGGTTATTTTTTATTTACTTTTTTTTTTAGCAGTACACACATGCTTATAAAAATAAAAGCCAAAGCACTGTTTTACTATGAAAAAATTAAGTTGTTCTGAAAGATTAAATGTTAATGTGTTAACTATATAGTTACAAAAGAAAAGTAGTCTGCTATTTAGTATGTATCTACAGAAGTACATCCTTTTTTTTTTTTCTTTCAGATTTACAACTGGCAGATGTGGCCTGATAAAAATCTTTATTTCTACAGAAATCAGTGTCAAACCATAGATGCTGAGTGCTAATGGAAATTTAACATGAGTTTTACAAATAACAGTGAGATTCAAAAACTGATAACAAAGTTTTCAAAAAGGCTGAACTGACTTTGCAAACTTTCCACCAAACCAGTCTTACCTCCCCTACTGGCAGTACAGTTGGTTGCCCTGGTTGCTACTTATCCTTTGAAAACCTCCCTCATAAGAAAAATGAAAGGGCAATTCTGTCCAGTTTCAGCCAATATTTAATGAGTAAATGCTCAGGAAAACAATGCTTATCGGTTGTGTTTATCTGGTTAGCCAAATCACATCAAGACATTAACAAAGATTCATTTAGGCAGTAAAAAAATCAATTGGTTTTAGGTCCAAATGACTGCAAATAACTTTATCCGTAATGCTCATTCACTTATTTTAATAGGCTCACAAAACAGAACATTAAGATGCCCTACTTCAGTGATAAAAAAGTTTATTTTATAATGTAGGCAAAGTAGATAGGGAAAGTTTAAAGAAATAATTTAAGTCATGTTGTTCTTTATTTTAGTCTCTTTTCTCTGCACACTTACTGGAAGATGGCATGAGAAACAATATGACTGTAAAAGCAGTAGCCCCTGTTTTGCACTTTATTTAGAACGCTTGAATTTCTAGCAAGCCTTTCCATTTAGCTTGGGTTGTTTGTTTTTTTTTTTCTTTTTTTACTTGATTTTAGGTATTCACAATAGGTCAAAAACCTTAACACAAATTCATGGTACAGCATTTAAGAGCTTGTAGTTCACTGTAAACTCTTAATATGTTAAAAAAACCAAAAAAACCCCACACTACCAAAAGGTCAGTCATACACATATACAGGTTGTTCTGATATTTTACCTTGCTGTCTCTGGAAGCAGTAGCACCACTCGTTGTTAGATATCAAACTGTCCTTGTACGTGTCACAGGAATTGAAGAATGCCCTGGTGCATGGCTCATTCTTGTCAAGGTAAATGCTTCCAAGTTCTGACTGGTCCAACAACAGGTCATAGTTCGTATCAAGCCTGTTAAACATCCAGCCAAGGGAGTCTTTGCAAATTGGTAAAATGCTGGTGTCAAATCCTAGGAAGAAAAAAAAAAAATAAATCAGAGCAGGAAAGACACAGCAGCTGCTGACCTCAGCCACCACAAATGAATGCTGCTTCATGGAAATTGTTCTAGTGGTACAAAGATACAGTATATAAACAATTTATAGGTAGTATTTCAATAGCATTAAATGTTTGTCAGCTTCATTTAAAAAAAAAAAAACTAAATTAACCTCCTAAAAAAAAATTAATCCCACAATCAGTCTTAAAGGATTTAAAAAAATGAGTTTTCTTGTCAAACATTATACCTATAGCATACACACTATGCACAGTAATAAATGATCTACAGTCACTTCCTGGAAAATAATTCTGTTGAGGAATTTTAGTGATATTATAAATTACATGAGTGAAGCTTAAGTGGTTTGCAAGGTTTACAGAACTAAGGAGGGAGTAAATTCCAAGTAACTTGTTGGAGTCCCTTTTTTTCTTCCCATAACACATACTCAGTTCTGTGAAAAAAGAACATTATACTGAACCTTAGCAATGCTTTAAAAGTTACCATATTTTATTTTTACCTTATGTACTTCACATTTCAGAGGAAGACATAGGTCTGCCAGTATGCGACCTACTAAGAGAGCTTGCATCTTCCTAAATTGTTGCTTGGGAAAAGGTCCAGAGTTTATTCCTGTAGCCAGAGCTCAGAACTCATGTTTGTTCTTCCTGCATGTACAATGTACATGCATATGCCTGCATATGCCTCAGTTTCCTCTGCTGTTAAAGCCTGCCTGCCTTAGTAGCTGTTCTCAAAACATTAAAGAAAACTGCAAAGTGTTTCTATACTGCTAAAACAGGTCAACTTGGACAACTCAGTAATCAGATTTAGAAATCACTACATTTTCCTTTATATATATATATGTATGTGGAAATGTCCATGCTAAGGTAGAATGAACATTTCAGAAAGTAAATGAAGAAAGCTGATAGCACCAAAAACTCCCTGTGGAAGTTAGCAATCACGAACTCCCCTTCTGCAGAAATCTTAAATTAACTCTGACTTTTTATCAGGGCAGTCTCACTTTTTCTTGCTCCCTGTTGATCTGTTGCATTCGTTATTATTTCTGCCTAACAGAAAGAAAATAAAAAAGCCAAGTAATAAGGCAAGCCATTTGGTATTTATGATGTGTTTAACACAGTTGAAAAACACAGCCAAACATTCAACCAACAGACTCTATCTTTCTTCCTCTCCAGCCCCCAATAAAACATCAAGGTAAAAAAAACTTTAATTCTTCCTGGATTAGGAAAAACAAAGAGACAGGACCTGACTGAATGAATAAGGATATACAGTACATTCAACTTTATCTGTAAAAGATGTTGTGATTATTTAACAGGTGTTTCCAGTGTGGAAAATTCTGGAAAGTTCCTCCACCTTAAAACCTTTTGTGTAAGGATGAATGTTCAGAACAACATTATTTACCTGTAAGTCTCTGTTTCTGAAGGCCTCTTAACATTACTATTTCTCTATTCTCTGCTACTCCTGCTTTTAGCTACAGATCCTCCTCAAGACCTTGGATTCAGAAAGGGTCAATGTGAATCATACTGTCTCCTATCCTGCCTTTTGTGTATCTGCACAAAGGGAGGAATTATTCTTGTGCTCACAAAATTTTCCTGAATTTGGCATTCTGGCCAGCTCATCAAACTGTAAGACAAGTTGCAGGAGAAAATCAACCATGAGGAGGCTGATTTTAATGAACAAGATTCCAGCTAGAAGGGAAAATAAGATAAAAACACTTTAAGGTGCATTCAGGGATGGATCTTGTGGGCCAAAGAAGATAATTGTAGATAATACATCTGCATGTGGAATTTCAAGTCTAAGTATATTGAAAGAGGCATCCCTTTCAGGCACTTTGTATTTTAGAAAATGAGAAGCTACAGTTATTTATTTTATTAACTCTACTATGGAAAAGAGGGAAAAAACCCAAACACCTGCTTATTTTATTTTTCTCAGTCAGTTTCAAATTTTACTCTAAAAAGAAATTAATCAATCTGAGGTATAGCGAAAGACCACTGAATATTTCAAAGGTTTTATGCATCTCTAAATTAAAGTTGGAACAATATTACAGATCAGCAGAAGATTGTCCCCTTTTTCTTTGATTCCCTTAACTATCATTAGCCTGTGAACTGAGTTCATTCTCTACTCCCCCTCTTCATTTTTTTCTCACGTCTTTCTATGTAGCTTTTAGACTTTTAAAAAAGTGTGTCTAACAGTGATGTCCCACTGTTTTTTTATCTATTACATTTGTCACAGTTAAGAACAGAGCTTGAAATTAAAACATTTGCATTGGAGTCAGCAGTATCATTACAAAAAACATATTATTTTATTACAAATCACTGGTATCAACAGGACAGCACCAGAAAAATGACATTATGTTCTAATATTTACTCTAAGTCCAGCTAAAGTTTACCATGACTAGAGTTTAAATATGAGTGTGAAGTCTGATACCTATGACACAGAATTCCTAGTAAACAGGAATATAACTGTCATATCAAAATTAATAAACCTATTTCAAACCATAACATTTCATGTAAGAAACTTCTTTTGTTATTTCCAAGCCTGAAAAATAGTTTACTTACATTAAAGCTATTATAACCTATATAGCATGATATACTGGAGAAAAAGCACTGTGGGACATGGGGTCAAGCTTTCTACTAAATAATTGATATAATAATTACAAAATCTAATCACGGTTTACCTTGAAAGTAGGTTTTGGTTTTGGTTTTTTTTTTCAGAATTTGCTTCTGAAGTATTTTGTGTTTTTATTTACAGCCCAGGTATATTTGTTGTTGTTTTTACTAGTTTTTTTGTTCCTTCTCTTCTCTGCTATTTACAATTCCAGTGTTTGAAGTAGAGAAAATTACCTCTCTTCTTAGATTTCATTTGACTTGTTTCACCAAGCCGAACTTTTTCCCAATCATCAGTCACTGCAATATAGTGTAAAAATGTCTGAAATCTAGGTCAAATATTAGTTTAGGTGAAATAAATAAAAATGGTTAAAGTATTCCAGAAGTAAGCCAGGCAAATGTTGACAGAGCGAGAAGCAGCTTTGTGTGATCTAAAATGAAGCAGTCCACCCACTCCAGAACTGCTATGCCACCTCAGTTCCATGTTCACATTATAAACCCCTAAGAGATTACTGTGGTAAAGTAAAATTCTTGGTTCAGTTTTTAAAGAATCTTTAAGGAACTGTCCAAACTTAAGATTATCAGAAGTGCTTTTTGTCTGCAATTACTTTCTTCTTCTACTAGAATATTGATAAAAGAGTACAGGTGTTACTCCTGAAGGTGATATAATTGAGAAAGAGTCAGCAAAGCCCTTGAATACACACCTAGAGTTTACATCTTCAAACAAGGCTTGAAACATAAGGGGGTCAGGTGATACAGAACTAAGAATCACAAAATCACCAGGTGACCTCTCACTTTGAGAGCCAAACAGAATGCTTTTCTTGCACATTTTTCACAGTTGAGACACAAAGCAAAAAGCAGAAACTAAAAGGGGGAAATTAGTATGGTTGAAGGCTAGTAATTTATTTGTGATGATTAAATTCCAGAACATCACAGAAGAGAGCAAAAGTTGCTGCTCACATGTCTGAATTGTGCAATATTTTCTCTTTCTCTCATTTTAACCTCTTATTTGAAATCTATTTCCATATACCATAATGAAATGAGCTTTTATACACCTATTCTGAACACTGTCTAGAAAAAAACAGCTTAAACTCTTTTCCTCAACCAAAACAATCCCAAGGGAGCTGTTATTGAGAAATATACCCCTCCTCTATGGCTTACACACTAGCACTCAAAACATTTCCTCAAAAGGAACCAACAGAAACGTTCCTGTATTTCTGATTATTTCTCAGGGGAGAATTTCAACTCTTAGTAAATACAATGTTGTAAGGTAGAACTATTGTTTGCCTGTTTATTAAGCTCCTAAGTAATAAATCCTTGTGTACATTGAGAAAGATTTTGACATTATGTACAAACCAAAACAGCACATATACATATGGCTCACATACTGCATAATATAAAATTGTTTATGTAATATGCCAAGAGAAGTAAACTTCATGATTCTTTCCAAAACCAGTACCCTGTCCTGTACAATAAGAGACTGCGACATGTCATTCATGTGAATAAATATACATGCCCTCTGCTAGAGTCCTGACTGCCATCTAGACCACAGCTTTTACTTGTTCAGTGTGCAAGTTGCACAGCAAGGTTTTCAACTGTGATGGATTTCTCTAATATTTTGGCTATCAGAAAATTAACAGCATCTCACAGCTGGGGCCTGTCATGACCAAGCTGCGAACAAGTCTTTCTTCCTAATG